GTAAGCACCTTGACCGAGACCAGCCACGTGTCCCCTGGTGATGTCACCACTGGGCCTGTAGGCACACACGGCCGGGGATAAGGGGACTTGCCCGTGGCGGCGGGGTCTGCATCTGACCCCAGCCCCTGGCGGCCTCTGCCCCTCTCCCCAGCCCGCCCAAGTCAGGGACAGGCCAGAGGACACTTGTCCCATAGTCAGACCTCGCTGCCGACGGCTCCCCAAGGGGCGTCTGCCCTGTGGAAGCAGGTGGTCACATGGGTCAGCAAAGGGACCGCAAAGCCAGGCTCTTAGCTGCAGGAGAGAGGAGGGACCAAGGTCTCGGCTCCCCAGGAAGCCCACGAGGGCCCACGGTTTACATAAAATCTGGGTCCAGGCTCCCAGGCAGCCCCTGTGTCTCGGGGACCCTCCTCTACATAATGGGCTTGGGGACTCTATGTGCACCTCATGCAGCAGTGCCAGCATCGGTACCTGATAATTGGCATCATGAGCAATAAATGAGGGCCCAGAGATGCCAGGTAACCTGCCCGGAGCCACACAGCGCTCCAAGCAGGCAGAACAGGTTGAGTACCTGAAGTAAGTTTCTGTTCTCAAGACGAGGACCCTCAGAGGCTCACACCCCCCAGCCCCAAATGCCTCTGAGCATCCCTGGTCGCCGGCACTGAGCTAACCCGAGAGGTGGAAACCGCATCCCCAGGCCTTCCTGCCGCGCTGTGTCCTCGTGAGTCAGGGATGCAACACCCCTAGGATGATCTAAGAGCAGGCCCCGAGGGCCCCCAGGGGAGTGCTTTGCAAAGGCTGCCTGGAGAGGGGTTGACCCTGACCTAGAATCACCGGGGTGTGGGGAGGTGGGAGAGGGAAGGCTGGGCTCCGTGGGGGGCACAGCGGAAGCCAGTGGGGGGCACCGGGGAGGAGAGGGAAGAGCGTGAGGGCTAGATGGGTGGGTCAGGCCCGAGGGCCTGCAGAACCGGGGACCGTGTGTCCTTGGCCCCACTTTAGTGGGGTCACCACGGGGTTCTGCTTCCTGCTGCCCACCATCGCTTCCCCGGGCATGCTCTTTGCAGAGTGCAGGCACAGACCCTCTTGTCCCACGTTCTGCCCTAGAGGGGCAGCTACCCTGACGTCTATCTGCGGCGGCGGCTCTTCCTCTCCCCC